TCAACCCCCAGTTTGGTGTCGAATCCTGTCACACTGTTTAGATTCATTTTAAGAAATATTTTGTTTATAGACTGAAATTGGCTTAATGATCTGTTATTGCCACATTTTAGACTAATTGATCAGCTTGAGTTCAATAAAAAAATATATATATATTTGGAGAAAGATTTGGAAATTGCTTTACTAATATGGCACAATAATTAAATGTTTTGGAGCAAATCAACAGGAATCCTTCAAAGGCCTGTTTTCTTCACACTGACCCCTCTTAAAAATGCAACACAGGAGACAGTATATTTTTCTCAAGCTTTTAACTTTAACTTCACATTTAAATAAACCTAAACTGATATATTTTTACAACATTTTTCTGGTCGACATTTTCTTAGTTTCTACACCCTGCAGGAATTAATACATTCAATAATTTGGTCAACTGAGCCTTGTTTTTCCAGGTTTTCTCATAAGATTGTATTGCATTTTAAGATTATGATTGTTCAAGTGGGGATTATAATGAAGCAATGTCAATAAAACTTGAACTTAAACTGATATATTTTTACAAAAAATTACTGGTCGACATTTTCTTAGTTTCTACACCGTTCTGGAATAAATACATTCAATGATTCTGTCAACTGAGCCTTGTTTTCCAAGGTTTTCTCACATAAGATCACTTGCATCTTAACATTTTGTCATAACAGAATTATGGTTGTTCAAGTGGGGATTATTATGAGGCAATGTAAACAAAACTTCTAAACTAAATCTTGCTGGAACAACAAACCATCCCAAAATCAGGTTTATCCTGGTCACACCAGAGGTGGGGCCTCAGGGCAGTTTAAGAGCATCTGATGTAAAGCATTTTAAGACCAAGCAGTTATATAAGTGGTAGGGATGTAGGCCATGTGTTGAGTCCTCAATAAATAATGCAGCATAAAACCGACTCTTATAGATGGACGGCAGATGGACAGTCAGTGAAAGAAACTGATGTTTTTTAAGAGTCCTTGAAATGGTGACTGCAGAGAAACCTGTGTTTATAGTTAGTTTTATATTATGGTCTTGTGGTTTCTACATGTATGCATTATGTAATTGAATAAGAGTAACATGCAAACTACTTTGTTTTTCACAGCTGTTGACTTTAGTTTATAGACTGTGTTGTAACATTATTTATCCAGCAGATGGCAGAAGCTCTTTAAAGTCTCTAAATCATGATTGATGAGTATATTCTATTACAGTTACTGGTTACAATACTGCATCCAAACCAGCAATGTAATTCAAGGCACAAACCCAATAATATAGTTTAAATTCTTAAAGTTATTGGTTTTCCATATGTGAAGAATAACAGCAGGGACATTAAACTAAGATCACTTTTACCTTAGAGACAGTTCAAAAATGTTTATACATAATGTTTTATCTATTTGAATACTGACAGAATTAAGGAAATCTCTTAAATTAAAATAATACAGAGGAATGTTAACATGAGTGGAATCATTGAGTAGCCTGTGTAAAACCAGGCATTTTATGTTTACATATAAATGTAATGTATAAATATCAAATACATGATGATTTGTTGTCATAACATGTCTAGGCACCACAGGTCACTTTGACTTGAGAACACCATTTGCTACCAAGAATATGTGTGGTTGTCAAGAAAGTGAAAGAAAAACCATGTATGAGTTTTGGGGAATTCTAGATGTGGCATGACTTTTGCCAAACAGCCTTCGCACGGCATTTTCTATTTATGGTGTCCACCAGTTCTACCCCAGTCCCGCCCAAAGTCAACAAATGCAGGTAGGCTACAGTAAGTGGCGTAGTTTAAAATAAGTCGAAGACATAAACCGAAAGGATAGCAGGAAAGTCCCTCTGGGCGGTGTCTTTGCAATGTTGGTGAAAAAGAAACAAAAAAAGGTTTAAAAGAAAGAATATCAGCACCATCACCTCAGATGTCCAAAAGACACCACTTCTCATCTTTTTCATCTTGTTAACAGGTGAGTATCAGACTACTACCAATACATTAAATGCATTAACAACAAAAACAGTTAAGGTACATAATAGTTACAGTATCTGTGTTTTGATGCATATTTGTGAACATTTACTTGTTTGAGTGATAATACTGTATAGTGTAGAATATAAAAAACTTGATATATATTGTGAATTAAACTTGTTGAATATAAATAACCTCAAATGTCTGCTGCAGACAGTATTTGACTAACCCATTCGTACACACCAATATTTAATTTTTAATTATATAGCAAGTAAACACATGTTAATACAATATTAGAATATTATTATTGTATTATAACAATAAAAAAACAAAAATGTCCTCCCCATTTCTGTTGTGACCAGTGAGAACAGTTTTTCAACAAAAATAGATGAATCTAACATGGATACCAGCATAAAAGATGATCTTCTCAACAAGCTGCAAGGACTAGTTACAAATATCAAATGGAGCCCGAAGGATGCCACTGACTTGTTTGATGCTCTTTTGAAGCGATTTGAGTCAACAAAAGACAGATCAGACCTCCTCTCATGGATGTTGAACATTTTGCACTATATAGAGATTAATTACATTACTCCCAACTGGAAAAGTCAAACAGGAAAGACACTGATTGAGCTGGTTAAAGACAAGACTATGACAGACGAAAACCTCAAGAAAAGTTTAGCTGAGAACAA